CCGGCGCCACCCGGCCGGGAGCTGCCGTACCCGGGGCGGTCGCGCTCTGCTAAGGGGCTGCCGACTGTGCTTCTTTCAGATCGAAGAGGAGCTAGCCGCCCTCCAGAAGGAACGCAGCGAGAGGATAAAGTTTCTGTTGGAAAGGCAGGAGCGAGAGATTGAGACGTTTGACATGGAGAGCTTGCGAATGGGCTTTGGGAATTTGGTCACGTTAGAGTATCCCAAGGAGGACTATAGATGAGATTAAATTTCTTTGCCATTCAAAAACAAAAGACAAAAAGCAAACAAAATAATGATAAAACTTGCAAAACCAACATTCCCCATGTTAACGGGCGTGCTCTCTCTCTTTCTGTCTCTCTTACTGACATCGTGTCGGACTAGTGCCTGTATATTCTTACTCCATCAGGGGCCCCCTTTCCCCCTGTGTCAAGTCCCGGTGCAGGACGGCTCCTGGCGGTCTTTTCCATAGTATGTCACAGTATTGATGTCTCTGTGCAATGATTAAAAATGTTTCAGTGAAAACTTTGGAGACAATTTTAATGGAAAAAAAAAAAAAAGTGGATGTATGTTGCTTTTGAGCAATCACTCATTTTACCACCAACCAATGAAAGTACAAGCAAAAAAAAATAATAATCAAATGATATCTACAAACCCAGGGGGAGAGAGACTAAATCCGCAGCCTTACCTTAACTAGCTGCTGCATAATTTTATTTTATTTTTATTTTTTTGGTATTTATTCATCAGGAATAATTAAATAATAAAAAAATTTTATTAAAGATTGAAAAATTTGATACATTTTACAGAAAAAAAACTTAATCGTGATGTACATATCAGTGGTGACATATTATTACTTTTTTGGGGGTGGGGAGGGGCGGGGCGCAGATCTGGTGATTTTTAGAAGAACCATGCCAGGCGAGGCGGGGATGAGACCTCGGTCCTCGGCATATTCTTGATTGTATCATAATCATTTTCTGCTGTCGCAGAGAATGTGAATACACTTAAATGAGCCCACAGGATCCCAGTAGCACAAATTGGGCTTTGTCAAATCGTGTATTTTGTGTATAGAAGGAATTTAAGGAGAGCTTTTACTTATTTTCATATTGTATTTTAACTGTTTCTCTGATCAAAAATTTTTTTACTTCTTTCCCCCACCTCCCTCCTGCTCCCAGCCACCCCGCCCACTCTCCGGTTCAGTACTTGGAGTCCAACGCTGTCTGTCAGATCATCCCCAGCCCTTTATTTTTTCTTTTTTTCTTCTTCCTTTTTTTTTTTTTGTTGTTCCTCCCCCAAGTCCACCCCCAACCCCATGATCTTGGTCATAAATATTGCATTATTCACACTTTCAAACTGTGTATTTTCTTACAATAAAAAGATAAAAAAAAAAGGCTTTACTTCTTTTGCATGCACTTTAAAAAAAAAAAAGGAAAAAACCAACAAAACAACAAAAACATTTTTCAGGTTCCAAGGAAGAGCATGAATAACTGTCAGAGCTTTTAATTATATTTGTAAATAAAAGTGTTCATCACACCGCCTCGCTGTCTCATTGTGGGAAGAGGGGAGGTGACCCGTTCCAGCACACCTCTTGCGGACGCACGAAGGGGTGAGGTGTCCCCGCGGCCCCCTCCGTCAGCCTGGGGCTGCGCTGGCGGGGCTGGAGGAACCCCTGGGGCTTCGGCTTCGTTCCAGCCCTGGTTTTCTCGACAGCGGAGGTTTTCGGGCTAACGGGTCGAGGCTTATTTCTGTATGTCCTGCTTGCAGCCTGAGAAGGCCCAAGGTGGATCAGCCCTTGCCGAGCGCAGTGCAGTACAGCTGTTCAAGCACCCCCCCGATGCCTCTAGTCTCGAGTTGGGGATGTTTCCCTGAAAAACTGTCAATCCTCTTTTAAATGTTTCAATGGCTGGGTTGAAAAACTACCCTGGGGCAGAAAGCAACCACCTTTCTTAGTAACAGTCATTGAATTTTACAGGGCCTTGCTGCAGCATGTTGAGGTTTTTGATACCCGTTTCTCAGACCACTTGGGTGCAGACCTTTGAGAAAGGAAGTAGTTTAAAAAAATGGGGAAGGTTCTAGTTCTGTGAAGTAGAATTACATTGGCTTCATCCTTTTTAACCTTTTAAAGATGTCAGACTGGACCAAAGGTTCGTTTTCCGCTTTAAGCGCTTAGGAGACACCGCCAGGCCTCACTGCAAGCTGTCGGAGGATCAGGAAAACAACTTGGGACCCTGCAGCTTTGGCTGGGAAGTGGCTTCAGGTCGGTAAAGCTGGCGGTGCTTCTCACAGGAGCCGAAATCCGCAGTCAGGGTTCAGCTGCGGTGGTGTGGGCTCCTGCAGAGCAGCACCTGCTGGGTGGAGGGACAGGGACCTCCAGGGAGCACCACGCCCGAGGCTTGGTGTGTGGGGAGATCCCATGGGACGGGCTCCTCTGCCAGCTGCCAAACACGGGCTGAAGGCACTGGGCTCCCTCAGCCACGGGGAGGCTGTCAGAGGGGGTGGAAGGGCTCGTTAACAGCTGGCTCTGCTGCCCCACAGCTGGCCTAGGCAGAGGGCAGACCCCATCAGCTGCGAGGAATGTCAAGGCTGGTAACAGGTGACAGGAGGTTTTCAGGGGATAAGTTACCCTGCTGGTGATGAGTGAGATGGTGGCTTCAGAAACACCCTGGAAAAAGAAGCGTCCTCTCTGAATTTCTAGAGCCAGCCCGCCACTGCTGTGAACCTTCACTGTGCCGGCAAGCTGCACCTCGAGGCGAGCAGATGTAAACTTGTACGAGGTGGGTTGTTGAACAGAAAAACGCGACCGCTTTGAGCTGCGTTCCTCCAGCATCAGCACTTGTTTCAGGCAGCACGGCCCGGGGGTGGAACTCCTGTCAGAGGGTCTGGCCTCCGCATGCGGAGGAGGAAAGGAACCCGATGACACCACGCTGCTCCTGTAAGCGCTCCCCTCATCCCCCAAGAAGACACCACACCATCCACCTTGGTTAAGTTTTTAATGGCACTGTGAGCAAACAGCACATTAACATCAGGTCACAACAGAACTTGAACAAAATGAAGTGGTCTCTCAGCTTTGCGTGGCAACAGAGAACAGAAGGTAGTGCTATAAACCAGCTTCCCTGCCTCCTACCAGCTATCCCTTCGCTACTTTAGTGGTTCACGTCACTGAAGTGGAGGCGCTGGCCAAATACTTGAGGGTAAAAATAAAAAGAAAGGGGAGTTTCCCTTAGACTGCCCTCTCCTCTCCTGGAAAGGGGAGACTACACAGCCAGCACCAACCCAGAAGTGGTTCTGTACCGACACCACTGCCACATAATACCATTTCAGCACAGCAGAGACACTCTGAAGTGACACTAATTCGCAAAGGCTTTGGTTTCCCTTAAGCAGGTCAGCCCGGAGGGGGTGGCCCTCACAAGGACACCTTGTCAGAAGCTCATCTAGCTAGCGATCGCCTGTACCTACGGGAGTCAGCCGAAGCACAGCACAGGTCAGGACCACACCGACACAGCAGCAGGTTCAGGCCAGGGACAGCGACAGGGTTACAGTTCCAGCGGTCAGTGCGGGAACAATTGGGTTCAACTCACTAATCAAACAAAACTACAGCGACATGCTCTGACCAGCCTGGTCTCCAGGCACGCAGGAGGTGCTGCACAGTGCTTCTTCAGGTCCCCTCACCCTACTTCCCCGACAGCTGCTCATAGAGCTTCGGCACATAGTCGTCCCACTCCGCCTGGTAGCAAGTGCCAGCCACCGGCACCCCCAGCTCATACTTGCTGCGGAAAGAAGTCACCTTGAACTTCCCTCGTTTGTCACCAGAGCGGTTAGAGAGGATGGGCTCGTTGCAGGTCAGCTGCTTCGGCTGCTCATACACCAGCCACACATAGCGGTGCAGCCCTGCGGGGAGGAGACAGCATTACAAGTGCCAGTCACCTGCAACTCCCGGGTACAAGGTTTGTTCTGAAGCGACCCCAGGAGCGCAGGGAAACAGAAGCCTGTGCTCACCTGGGACGTGCTGGCACTTCCTACTATTGTTCTCCAGGAATAAGAAGGCTAAGCGTGATGGAGCTAAAGGAGCTTAAGGAGCTTAGAGAAGATGCACTAGATAGATATGCTTGAATGGCTCACGTCCCGCCTAGGCTAGTGCTCCCCTTGCCGGGCAACACTGCCTACCAACTGCAGGCAGAACAGCACAGGCCTGCCACCAGACAGCAAGGGGACAGTGGTGATGCACGCTCACGCTGGCCGTGGCTATGTGCAGCCACAAGCATTCCTGTGTGGGTTGTTTCCGCAGCACGGCACGCGCCAAGCAGGCGGCTAGTTTTCCGCAGGCCTCCCCACCCTCTCCTGTGCACCACGTTTGATCCACGCGGCACCACTGTGCTCAGAGCACGGGAACCGCTGCAGCCAGGTACCGACCTGTTCCTTTGGGAGGTCCGGAGCCGACGTAATCTGACAGCACAGTCCCGCTCCCCACATTGTTGCCTTTCATGTTGGTCACCAGGAAGTGATGCCACTCCCTGAAAGGAGAAGGCAAAAAACAATCAGGCTGCATCACAGCCCCAGCTAAGACCCTCATTACTCCAAGCTGCTGCTTTACTGTAAGGCTGTCAGTGCAGGGTAACTGCAGCTAGCAGCTGCCGCTCCTGGTTTGCCAAACACAAAAACCACCGGTCCTAGAGCAGGTACTGCCTCCTTCAGGATGCAGAGCCTGTCAAAACCAGCTCTGTCATCCTGCCTTACGGCTCTGGGAAACCCAGAGCCTGACCCCTAAGAGTGGGTATTCCATATGCTTGAGCCTGATTTGAGAAAGGTGAGTTGGTCCCAGGTTTAAGACTCCACTGCTAGCACAGACAGACCTAATTCCAACTCACACACATGCCAAATTAGAGCGAGCAGCAGATGCTGTGCTTCTCCAAGCTACAACAGACTTCTGAACACCCCTGGCAAAAGCAGCTGCTCCTCCCCGTGCTGTCCCTGTCTCAAGGAGAGACGCAAGGGCACTGTTTCTACCCCAAGCCACAGACTCACTGCTGCACCTTAGGCAGAGCACATTCCCAACCTCCTTCTAAGCCTCTACTCAGACCAAGATGGATGCTCCATTTTCCCCAGGCAAGATAGGGAGTTGCCCACCCCCATTACCTGAACTTTGGGTCCTTCCTACTGGGAGCATCTGGGTCTGTGAGAACCAGGGTGTAAAGCTTCTGGGGATCGCAGCCATCCCACTCAATGCTGGTGGGGCGATGCTGGACCTGGAGGGATGAGGGCGTTAGCACGAGCAGCCAGCCCCGCTGCCTGCACCACGCAGCCTGCGCCAGCCAGCTGCACTGCACAGGGAGGCCACGCGTGACCAGCGCAGGCAGCAACACCCGAGGAGTTCAAGGCCATTCGTGCCAGCTCGCACCCAGCCTACGCGAGGCGCCGTGACATCTCCCGCGGCACGGAGGCAGGCCTGCCCGCGCCGCCCCCGTACAAGAGCCGACAGCAAAGCAGGGCACCTCTCTCTTCCCCCCGCACCCGCTGAGGCTCCGATGGGGGCTGCCAGAGCGAAGGCGCAAGAGGCCCGGCCGCCTCCCGCCATTTTGTCACACCCCCAAACGCGGGGCCGAGCCCTGCTCACCTGAGTGGGCGTGAGCACCTTGCCCAGCTCGTCTATCTCCACGGAGCCATACTTGACCCGCAGCGGCTG